CAGTATTCCAGGTGGGGTCTCACGAGAGCAGAGTAGCGGGGCAGAATCACCTCCCTTGGCCATGCTTCTTTTGATACAGCCCAGAATACAGTTGGCTTTCTGGGCTGCCAGTGCACATTGCCAGCTCATGTTGAGCTTCTCATCAACCAGCACTCCCAAGTCCTTTTCCTCAGGGCTGCTCTCAATCCATTCTCCGCCCAGCCTGTACTTGTGCTTGGGATTGCCCCGACCCACGTGCAGAACCTTGCGCTTGGCCTTGTTGAATTTCATGAGGTTCTCACAGGCCCACCTCTCCAGCCTGTCAAGGTCCCTCTGGATGGCATCCCTTCCCTCCAGGGTGTCCACAACACCACACAACTTGGTGTCATCTGCAAACTTGCTGAGGGTGCACTCGATCCCACTGTCCATGTCACCAACAAAGATGTTAAACAGCACTGGTCCCAGTACTGACCCCTGAGGAACACCACTCATCACTGGCCTCCACTTGAACATTGAACCGTTGACCACAGCTCTTTGAGAGCGACCATCCAGCCAATTCCTTATCCACCGAGTGGTCCATCCATCAAAACCATGTCTTTCCGGTTTAGAGACAAGGATGTTGTGTGGGACAGTATCAAATGCTTTGGACAAATCCAGGTAGACGATGTCAGTTGCTCTTCTCCCATCCTTCAATGCTGTAACCTCATCATAGAAGGCCATCAAATTAGTCAGGCAGGATTTGCCCTTAGTAAAGCCATGTTGGCTGTCACCAATCACCTCCTTATTTTCTATGTGCCTTAGCATAGTCGCCAGGAGGCTAATTGATATGACTGTTTAATGCCTTATGCATGTTTGGTTTAGGATAACTGAAGACGTTGATGTTTGGAACTGTTTGTTTCATATTACAGACGATGTCTCTTGACTGTATACTGGTGCAGCTGGTAGTGCTTGACAAGAGGAGGCAGAAAGACATGATTTCAGTCAGGGTTTTTTTTGGCCTAAGTATCTTTTCTCTTACATAGAGTGCTTCAGAGCTAGGGAAGACTGTAGATATCTTCAGAAACTAAAGAGACTAAATTTCCTCCGTGTGCAGCTTTGGCAGTGATATTTTACACTTCTTTTGCCGTTTACGTGTCTGACTGATGTCATGAAAAGAGGAAGCCTTTCTTTTGTTACCAGCTCGCCTCCCCCACACGATGACAAAGGAAATGAAACAATAGTTTTCAAATCTGTGAAAGCATTCTTTGTATTTAAAAAAATAAATTAGTGAAGTCAGTGGATATACTCTCAACTTCTGTTCTACATTTTCTTTTATCTTCATGTTTACTCGTCAACTTAATTGTTGTTTGAGCAAGCCTTTTAATGTTCTTGCTTTATGAACTTCAGGACTTAATGGTATACAGTAGAGACTACCTTCTATAAATAATACATAACTTTTTTTAAAGAAAAAAATTTTCAGACTCTTTTGGCATTGATGTTATCTCTCATTTTGTAAAAGAAAGAAACAGAGTGCAGACCAAATTTTTTCTAAATATTTATTTACAAAATTGCTTGCATAAAATACATTAAACATTATTTTCAGGAAGAACAAAGAACATTTCTTCAGATAGTGATGCATTACAAAACATAATACATTTGTAGGTCTGCTGAAATATTGCTTGATTTTTTTTTTTTGTCCAGTGGGGGAAAAAAGTGTATATTCTTGAGAGAAACTAGCATAAATAAATAAATTTTTTGTTAAGAGGGAACAGAAATTCCCAGAGGATGACAATGAGTAGGATAGGTAGTCTTAAAAGCAATACCACCTGTCTTACAGGAAATGGATTCTGCTTACTGTAGAGAGTAGTTTAAAGCTCTGCATTCTTGTTTTGAAGACAACATTAGATTGTTTTATATGCATGCATGGGGAGATTTTAATGTCCCAAACTTAACATTTTTCTTTCTTTATCTAAGATACAGGTAAAATTTGAACATAATAAGGCACGCTTGTTCCTCAAGTACAGTTTGTTTAAAATAATCAAAGTTTTATGTATGACTATGTAGATGACACATATACCTAGCATAGCTATGTATACTCTTGCTTATTTTTTTCTCACCACACCTAATGTGTTACTGTCTTCAGACAAGCTCACTCTGTCTTTGAAAAGGTATGTTAGTGGTTACAGTGGGGGAATGTGATTTGTAGAGCACTTTGAGAGTCAGCTCCTCTTTTATTACATGCTCTTGCATTTAGAAATGTACTTCTGGAACATGTCAAGCTTTCTTTTAAAACTGGTTAAATTCTGTCTGCATTACTTGCTTGGAAGGCTACTTGAGTGCCTCAGGTCTTAGATGACTAGAAATACCTGTCCCTTCTTCCTCCAGGGCCTAGCTCTTTCTAGAGAAAGAATTACTTTCTGTATGGAGAAATTAATGAGTAGCTAAAGTACTTCAGCTCAAACAACTAGAGACAGAAAATCAAAACATCAAATTAATTTTAAATACTTTATGAATGATGCTTTTCTCACTCTCAGTCACATTTCTGTATTACAGTTTCAGTCTGGTCCATATGGCTTTAAGCCTCATTGGTGTCTTTCACATATTCACTAAAATAATGAAGCTGTAACGTGTTTTAAAAGAGACTTAATTTATAGCTTATAAAATCAGAAGTTTGAAATACAGTCCGTGGCTTGATAATTGCTGTTAAAGTCTAAACAAATTGAGTTCTAAAAATCTGTAATATAGTTATTTCCTTTTAATAGTTAATAGGATTTGATTCTTCATGTGACCCCCTCCCCAACAAAGCAGGGCCCATGGACTGTTACTTATTTGTACAGTGTCTAAAAATGTGTAACCTCTTAGACACTCCTTCAATAAAGATGTAATTCTTTCTGATTAGAAAGATAATGGATTGGAACACAAAAACCAGATAAACATGGATTCACTCATTTGAATTTCGTAACTGTTATGTCAGGAAACAATGTAGAATACAAAAACTGCATTAATTCCAATGCATATTTCAATTTCAGGATACACCTAAATCAGGTACTAGCTGCAGTTCTCGGTGTTCAAGCTCCAGACAAGATTCCGAGAGTGCGAGGCCGGAATCAGAAACCGAAGATGTGCTGTGGGAGGACCTCTTACACTGTGCAGAGTGCCACTCTTCCTGTACCAGTGAGACAGATGTAGAAAGCCCTCAGGTGAATCCATGTGTGAAGAAAGAATACAGAGATGACCCCTTTCATCAGGTTGGTATTCACCAGTTTTGATTTTTTCACACTACACACAAGTTCAGTGTTAGCAGCTTTATCACGCGTCAGGAGGCCTGGGAGAAAGAACTCTGTATTAAGTGAAAGTGACAAAGCTAAAGTGATTTTACAGAATTAAAATAAGGCAAATTTGATTTCTGCTACTCTGTCAAATGAAGAGTACATGACAATATACTGGAATAGCCTGCAGAATATTTGAGTGTTTGAATCTTAGTTCTAGTTCAGGACAAGCACTGGTCGATTTTAAGTTTCCTCTGTGGTATATGGTTCTGGTTTTGTGTTTTGTTTTGGTTTTGTTTGGTGTTTTTTTTCTTTTTTTCCTTTTTTTTTTTTTCCCTCTAGTGGAATTACTCTTTTGTGAGCCTATATCGGACATCTTTCTGTTTGCTTATATATAAATGTATATTTAAAAAAGCAAACAGAAAGATAACATATTTAGTATATGTTATATATGTGTATATATATGTTACATGTGTATTATATATGTCTACATTCTATTTAGAGATAATATTTTTATTTTTACCTTAAAGCTAATAATTTTATTTCTCTTCTTTAATGCTGTTTTGTAGCAACATACAGGCAGTAATTTCTGAAAATTTTAGTGTTTGTTGGGCAGCACTTCAGTTGCAGCCTGCCTTAGGTTAGTGTTGTACAGAATGGAATTTTTAGTGCTTGACCATTAACGATCAAGTATTAGTCTTCATTTGATAAAATCCATTCAGATGTCACAGTGCCAGTTATATTTGTAGTGCAAGTCTTATCTTTAAATTGCATGTTAATTGCATTGCTAATTTGAACTATTTAAGTAAAGAGAATGGAGAGAAAGTGAAACATTCTTCTGGGAAAACATGTCATGTTGGTAGCGCATACATCAGTTCTAAGGAATGCTCTGCAGGAGATGATGTTAATGCAAAGGAAAAGAATTTCAAAAGACAGGCTTTTCACTCATAACCAGAATTGAAAATGAGGTATTTGTTAATTTTAAAAAACCATTACCTCAAGAAAACCCAAACCCAAAGGAGATGGCAATCTGGATTTCCTGCAGTCTTTGCTTTTTTATTTATTTTTAGTTCTTGCTTACATTTCGTATAAACAATAAACCGGAAGCCTTAGAATAAGGAGTCGAATTGTGTTATATGCATTGAATCTGTTTTTCTGTGGTTGAGTGGTTTTCTGTTTGATATAGATTGTGAATTTTTGAGTTTTGGCTCCTGGTGTTGATGCTCCCTCTAGAGGGAGATCTTGGAAGTCTGTGATTAAGAAAGTCCTGCAACTAATATTGCACTGTTTTAATAATATAAATCAAAATTTTTGATCCAATTGAAAGAACAAGAAGAGAGATAAAAATTGAGTACTTAGCAGAATACAAAGATTTCAGATAAACACTGATAAAGTAAGTAATAAAAATAAAAGCTTTACTTTCAATCAGTGATAAATTAAACTTTTAAAAATAAAACCACCCCCCTACTCCTCCTTGCAGTGCCACCATTTCCAGTAGTTTGATACACAGTGCTAGATGACCAGGCAGAGTTTGGAGCAATTTTAATCACCTAAATGGGAGAGGAGTGAGGTAGGGCTGAGGGAAATCAAGAAAAGGCCACAGCAGAACTTGTTGCCTCAACATTTTTCCAGATCCTTCAGTTCTCACTTTTCTCTCTGTTTAGAGTAAAGGTGCCTCAGCCATAAGTGCATTTAGGAGATTAGGCTGGGATTACCTGGCTCTTGGAGCGGCATGTATTAATTGGGCTCCCACCACTGTGTGAGTCTTGCCAGATATGGTCAGCATAGGGGGACGTTTATCCATAACAAGGATTGCAAAGTACACAAATATAATTAAAAACAAATTAAAAAAATTGTTGGCCTTAGGCTCAACCTGAGAAGAGTACTTTTCAGAACGTTAGTGGAAAAAAATAATGATCAGAAAAATAAAATATTCCGTTAAACATGTGGCAAAATTAAAGATGGCTTATAAATAGACCTTTGTTTTCATGCCTCTCTCTTCTTTGATAGTTTGAGCAAAAAAGAAGCCAATTAATCCTCAACCACAATAACTCAACACTGTTAGAAAAGTATGGGGAAGGAGAGATCTCTGTACTCACAGCTATTTTCTGGAAAAGAAGTGAATGATTTTGAGGAATGTGGTTAACATAGTAACATTTAGTAGAAGTAAATGCTATATAACAATATTTGTGTCAGTCTAAAGCATTTTTTGTCAGCGTATTGCTGACAAAGACTTATTGACATGACAATAGATTTTTATCTCTGATGGAATATATTCCTTGTCTTCCTCAGAGTCATTTGCCTTGGATCCACAGTCTGAATCCAGGACTAGAAAAAATAAGTGCAATTGTATGGGAGGGTAATGACTGCAAGAAAGCAGATATGTCCGTGCTTGAAATCAGTGGTATGATAATGAACAGAGTGAGTATTCTTTTTACTTTATGCAAATACTATATTTAGGAGTCTAAGCACTACCAAAAAGAAGCTTGTTTTATGTTTGGTTTTGTTTTGGTTTGTTTTCAAGTATCTGTTATTGACATTATTGTTCCATGGCTTACATCACTCTGATTGCTTGTTATTAAGAGATGAAAGAGCTGCCAGATCTTAACTATTGGGACAATAAAATGTGTTTGCATTGTTAGGTGCTAACTAACATAGCCAACCTCTATTTTATTGTTACAAAGTGATATTATGCTGTGAATATTCTGATTTATCTCCTTGGTTTTAATGAACAACTTATATGTTGGGTTAGGAGTATACAGATCTGAGTATTTGGATGCTAAAGTTAAGATTGGAAGAGAGACCTTTCCTCTGTAGGAAACAAACATCTAAGAGGATGAGTGGGATGTCTCACTAGTCCTCCCTTCTTTTTTCTAGTACTCCTCTTCAGGAAACAGTTGGAAAAGCATTTAATTGATGTCGTACTCTTTTTCAATATAGACAATGTAGGCATTTTGTAGAGTTGAACGTAAAATCCCAGCATAGCTTAAGGAAGCTATCCCTAATTCTGACAAGCTGATACTTTCCATCTCCAACTTGTTAAAAAGCAATGTATTCACAAATGTAGTTCAGATCTCTGTATCTCGATGGAGACGATACGGTTTTGGATGCAATCCACAGTAGAAGTAAACTTAACAAAGCTACAGCCAGCACTTTAGGAGTCCAGTCCCGTCTGCACTGCAAAAGCATTAAAAGACATACAACCCAAAAGCAAAACACAAATAGGAGTAACATACGGGATGTGAGCGACACAATCTGATTGGCACACTTTGCTAATTCAGTGTTTAATGAATTTTTCATACAAGAATATGCACTGGAGTCTTTTAACTGCAGTATTAGGTTGTTGGCTTTTTAAATGATTTATCATATTTGGTTCCTGTGCATTAAGTGCTCTTTGAGGACTTCTTTTTTCTTAACAGTAAATTGTGAAGATGCTTGCTTGAAGGTTTCATATAACTTATCAGGTTATAAAATGTTCTTTGTGATAGTAAGACAGTAACAATAATTTCTTGATTTAATTTCAAATTCCAAAATTAAAAATATACCTTGTTTTCTTTTGGTTTTAGGTGAACAACTATATACCAGGAATTGGTTATCAGATTTTTGGGAATGTCATATCTTTAATCTTGGGTTTAATGCCATTTGTCTTTCGACTTTCACAAGCTAAAGATTTGGAACAACTAGCTACACATTCTGCCACTGAACTTTGCATGACTGCATTTGGATCAAATGGAGACATTCTGGTTCTCTCAATGGTTACTATAAGTTTTGTGGTCCGTGTGTCTCTAGTGTGGATTTTCTTTTTTCTGCTATGTGTAGCAGAGAGGACGTATAAACAGGTACGAAGAGCAAACCAAGAGGCTTCATCCAAAGCAAAACAAGGTTTAATGTTTGCATTTTTTTGACTTTGTGGATATTTTAAACTTGTTTTCTTCAGTGCACTATGATTCATAGATCAATGATGACACATACTTCAGTAGGCTTACAGTTTAGGAGACAACTCAGTTGCAATGGACTGAAGTCTGTACGGTCTCTGTAGCTAAACCTTTTTTCCTGGAGAGCATTTCTGAGGGAAAACTTTTTAATCTTTTATTTCAGATTTCTGGCTGAATGCATTAACCTAGCTCTTAGTCATGTCCCAGTTTGTCTCAGTCTTCTTCAAGGAGAAGGAGTTTCAATAAAACAACTCTATAAATTTCCAGTTTGTTCTACCAGTGTGTTCCCTTCAAATCTTTCAGTTTAATTCCACACAGTTCAGTCCAGACCCTGGCCAAGAGCCCTGCCTGCTTTGCTGGTAGATCAGTCTCACGGCTGGAGACTGAGAGCGGCTCTCTGAAGTAATACACCTGTTAATTTATTGCTTGTTATTGCAATTAAACTTTTAAGAGAGTATCAATATCCCTTACTAGCTGCAGAGTACAGATACTTACTGATTGGCCAAAGAAAAATTTTTTTAATTACTTTTCTCAAATGGTGGCCAAAATTAAGTGATTTAATGCAGTAGAATAGAATTAACCTGCTTCTAATAATAATTTCTGTTGGAAGGAGCTACTGTGATGCAGGCACTTTCTAATGAAAATGATTGGCAGGTTTGATTCTCTCCCAGATTTTAATAGCATAGCAGATCTGTTGTCCGAAATTTCAAGAAAGTAAGTCAAAGTGCAGCTGAATTTTGTCTTCTGTTAGACTAAGAAGACTTAAAACTTTTTAATGTCTCCTCTTTTTAGTAACATGCCACTCTTATTTCTGCACTGTTAACATATTTTGCTTTACATTTTTTTTTTTTTAGTGTCCTTGAAAATTAGTTAATGGTTAAAGTATTTTTATTCTTCTCTGCAGAGGCTACTGTTTGCCAAACTTTTTGGTCATTTAACATCTGCTAGAAGGGCAAGAAAATCGGAGGTTCCTCACTTCCGTTTGAAGAAAGTACAGAATATAAAAATGTGGCTTTCTCTCAGGTCCTATCTAAAGGTAATACACATTTTTGCTACCACTTTAGTATAAAATATCCCATATGCTGTTGATGGAAGGCTGGTATTCTAGTCTGAATTTTTCCTCCTGTGCACTTATCCCTTTTGATGCACGTGATGTCCTATGCGCTTCATTTTGGTGTCTCTGGGCCAACAGTATCTGCAGGCAGCCTGATTGTGAGAAAGTAAATATCTAGTTTTCACCTTGGGCTAAAGGCATGTGTGTTCAGAGTTAGAGTCTTATGTTACTAATGCTAGCAGAAAAGTCTCTCAGGTGAATATGTTGTGTAAAAATGACAGCTTGTAGTATAATGCAGACAATACCTTATTGTCAGAGCCCCACCAGTTAGTGTCATTAACACAGAAGGAATTTATGAAGCAAGACAGTTTACATAGATATTTGTGCTGTGAGTGCGTATTTTCCTGAGACCCCACCTGGAATACTGTGTTCAGCTCTGGAGTCCCCAGCACAAGAAGGACATAGAGCTGCTGGAGTGAGTCCAGAGGAGGGCCACAAAGATGATCCGAGGGCTGGAGCACCTCTGCTATGAAGACAGGCTGAGAGAGTTGGGGCTGTTCAGCCTGGAGAAGAGAAGGCTCCGGGGTGATCTTATAGCAGCTTTCCAGTACCTAAAGGGCGCCTACAGGAAAGCTGGAGAGGGACTTTTTACAAGGGCATGTAGTGATAGGACAAGGGGCAATGGATTTAAACTGAAAGAGGGCAGATTTAGATTAGATACAAGGAAGAAATTTTTCGCTGTGAGGGTGATGAGGAACTGGAACAGGTTGCCCAGAGAAGTTGTAGATGCCTCATCCCTGGAAGTGTTCAAGGCCAGGTTGGATGAAACTTTGGGCAACCTGGTGTAGTGGAGGGTTTTCCTGCCCGTGGCAGGGAGTTGGAACTAGATGATCTTTGAGGTCCCTTCCAACTCTAACCATTCTATGATTCTATGTGCCAGGTGAAGCTAAAAATTATGCGCAAATTTGTTATGTCAGAGAATGCTACCTAAATGAAAGTTGCTTCACATCATGAAGGAGCTGAGTGAACAAGTGGTGAATATTTTCTTTTCTCATAGTTATCTTTAAATGCTTGCATCTGAATTAGTCGCACATGGCTTTAGGGGTGTTCAGATATAGCGATATTATCAGGTACAGCGTTTGGAACTTACATTGCCAGATCGTGATCTATGATAAAACGTAGATTCAAGGTGTGAATCTAACTGGATATGCTAAATATCAATGCTGATGGGGTGGGTTTTCACTCACCTACATACATCTCCCTTATTTTCAGCGTCGTGGTCCTCAACGCTCAGTTGATGTAATAGTTTCATCTGCCTTCCTCCTGACTATCTCAGTTGTGTTTATCTGTTGTGCACAGGTAAGGAAATCTTACTTGTATAGAAACAGCCATGACTTAAATAATGTTTAAAATAATTGAGTGCCTTTTGCTCAGTGATTCCTATTAAGATAAAAGACTATGGTGAAAAATCAGTAACAGCTGTTACAGCTTTTCAGAAGATTAAGTTCCATTTATACTGTTCATTTTTAGAATATTATTCTGTAAGAGCTAAAGCAGCTTATTGATAGCATAATTCCTAACATGATATTATTATTGTTTTTTAAATCTGTGTCTTCTTTCATTTTCCATCGTGGATTTTGGAACACAGTGTTTTTTTCTAACATTTTGCATCAAAACATACTTTTGCAAAGAAGTTTGAGATTGACCTTGATGATTTTTTTGTGAGAAATGAGGTGGTTGGCTGTATTTGTGTGCCCTCTAGTGGAGTATGTTTTAGTAAGCAAATCTATGTTTAAGGATGATTTTTATTGCCTAAAGTTTTTCCTTGAGCTTCTGTGGAAGGGAAGCTTCTGAATGGCTTCTGTTGGTATTTTTCCCCCACTTTCTTCCCCAGTTAATACTGATGTGTTTTCCTGGTAGCTAACTATAAATATTTTAATAAGAATATAATTTAGCAGTTGCTCTGCTTGGATTCAATTTTCTGTGTAATTCAGTATGGTTTAGGGTCTGTTTTGTTTTTCATCCCATATAGTGTCTTTGCAAGTTTGAACATGAGTTTAAAATTGTCTCAAGAGTGTATATATTTTTTTTATATTGCTTTAGGAATGCAAAAAAAAGATGTATCTAAATTCTGATTGAGCCTTCAGAGCATATCTTTTCTCAAACCTCATCTCTTCGACAGAATGTTGATTTTTAAATCATGATTCAAAAATTATGTCTAAAAGCAATCTGTGTACTTATTACTGGGAATTTTTTCTTTGAGTTTGGGAGATATATAATTATTTTCTTACATTGTAATATAATTATTACTTTGAATTATTTTTTTTTCTTCCTCCTCTTTTGTTTTCAGCTGCTTCATATGCATGAGATCTTCCTTGATTGTCACTACAATTGGGAACTCATAATTTGGTGCATTTCACTGACTCTTTTTCTCTTAAGATTTGTTACTCTTGGATCTGAAACCAGTAAAAAATACAGCAATACCTCAATATTACTTACTGAGCAGGTGAGAATTTGTATAGACCTGTATTTTTATATCTAA